GTTTATTTAGTTTATTTAGTTTATTTAGTTTATTTAGAGTTTATTTAGTTTATTTAGTTTATTTAGTTTATTTAGAGTTTATTTAGTTTATTTAGTTTATTTAGTTTATTTAGAGTTTATTTAGAGTTTATTTAGTTTATTTAGTTTATTTAGTTTATTTAGTTTATTTAGTTTATTTAGTTTATTTAGTTTATTTAGAGTTTATTTAGTTTATTTAGTTTATTTAGTTTATTTAGAGTTTATTTAGTTTATTTAGTTTATTTAGTTTATTTAGAGTTTATTTAGTTTATTTAGTTTATTTAGTTTATTTAGAGTTTATTTAGTTTATTTAGTTTATTTAGTTTATTTAGTTTAGTTATTTAGTTTATTTAGAGTTTATTTAGTTTATTTAGTTTATTTAGTTTATTTAGAGTTTATTTAGTTTATTTAGTTTATTTAGAGTTTATTTAGTTTATTTAGTTTATTTAGAGTTTATTTAGTTTATTTAGTTTATTTAGTTTATTTAGTTTATTTAGAGTTTATTTAGTTTATTTAGTTTATTTAGTTTATTTAGTTTATTTAGTTTATTTAGTTTATTTAGTTTATTTAGAGTTTATTTAGTTTATTTAGTTTATTTTAGAGTTTATTTAGTTTATTTAGTTTATTTAGTTTTTATTTAGTTTATTTAGTTTATTTAGTTTATTTAGTTTATTTAGTTTATTTAGAGTTTATTTAGTTTATTTAGTTTATTTAGTTTATTTAGTTTATTTAGAGTTTATTTAGTTTATTTAGTTTATTTAGTTTATTTAGAGTTTATTTAGTTTATTTAGTTTATTTAGTTTATTAGAGTTTATTTAGAGTTTATTTAGTTTATTTAGTTTATTTAGTTTATTTAGAGTTTATTTAGTTTATTTAGTTTATTTAGTTTATTTAGAGTTTATTTAGTTTATTTAGTTTATTTAGTTTATTTAGTTTATTTAGTTTATTTAGTTTATTTAGAGTTTATTTAGTTTATTTAGTTTATTTAGTTTATTTAGAGTATTAGTTTAGTTTATTTAGTTTATTTAGAGTTTATTTTAGTTTATTTAGTTTATTTAGTTTTAGTTTTAGTTTATTTAGAGTTTATTTAGTTTATTTAGTTTATTTAGAGTTTATTTAGTTTATTTAGTTTATTTAGTTTATTTAGAGTTTATTTAGTTTATTTAGTTTATTTAGTTTTATTTAGAGTTTATTTAGTTTATTTAGTTTATTTAGAGTTTATTTAGTTTATTTAGTTTATTTAGTTTATTTAGTTTATTTAGAGTTTATTTAGTTTATTTAGTTTATTTAGTTTATTTAGTTTATTTAGAGTTTATTTAGTTTATTTAGTTTATTTAGTTTATTTAGAGTTTATTTAGTTTATTTAGTTTATTTAGTTTATTTAGTTTATTTAGTTTATTTAGAGTTTATTTAGTTTATTTAGTTATTTAGTTTATTTAGTTTATTTAGTTTATTTAGTTTATTTAGAGTTTATTTAGTTTATTTAGTTTATTTAGAGTTTATTTAGTTTATTTAGTTTATTTAGTTTATTTAGTTTATTTAGTTTATTTAGAGTTTATTTAGTTTATTTAGTTTATTTAGTTTATTTAGTTTATTTAGAGTTTATTTAGTTTATTTAGTTTATTTAGTTTATTTAGTTTATTTAGTTTATTTAGAGTTTATTTAGTTTATTTAGTTTATTTAGAGTTTATTTAGTTTATTTAGTTTATTTAGTTTATTTAGAGTTTATTTAGTTTATTTAGTTTATTTAGTTTATTTAGTTTATTTAGAGTTATTTAGTTTATTTAGTTTATTTAGTTTATTTAGAGTTTATTTAGTTTATTTAGTTTATTTAGTTTATTTAGTTTATTTAGTTTATTTAGTTTATTTAGTTTATTTAGAGTTTATTTAGTTTATTTAGTTTATTTAGTTTATTTAGTTTATTTAGAGTTTATTTAGTTTATTTAGTTTATTTAGTTTATTTAGAGTTTATTTAGTTTATTTAGTTTATTTAGTTTATTTAGAGTTTATTTAGTTTATTTAGTTTATTTAGTTTATTTAGAGTTTATTTAGTTTATTTAGTTTATTTAGTTTATTTAGAGTTTATTTAGTTTATTTAGTTTATTTAGTTTATTTAGTTTATTTAGTTTATTTAGAGTTTATTTAGTTAGAGTTTATTTAGTTTATTTAGGTTTATTTAGTTTATTTAGTTTATTTAGTTTATTTAGAGTTTATTTAGTTTATTAGTTTATTTAGTTTATTTAGTTTATTTAGAGTTTATTTAGTTTATTTAGTTTATTTAGTTTATTTAGTTTATTTAGTTTATTTAGTTTATTTAGTTTATTTAGAGTTTATTTAGTTTATTTAGTTTATTTAGAGTTTATTTAGTTTATTTAGTTTATTTAGAGTTTATTTAGTTTATTTAGTTTATTTAGAGTTTATTTAGTTTATTTAGTTTATTTAGTTTATTTAGAGTTTATTTAGTTTATTTAGTTTATTTAGAGTTTATTTAGTTTATTTAGTTTATTTAGAGTTTATTTAGTTTATTTAGTTTATTTAGTTTATTTAGAGTTTATTTAGTTTATTTAGTTTATTTAGTTTATTTAGAGTTTATTTAGTTTATTTAGTTTATTTAGTTTATTTAGTTTATTTAGAGTTTATTTAGTTTATTTAGAGTTTATTTAGTTTATTTAGTTTATTTAGTTTATTTAGTTTATTTAGTTTATTTAGTTTATTTAGTTTATTTATTAAATAGTGGCAACAACAATTCCAACAGTAAACTGCCTTAACTTTAATTTATATAATAATTAATTAATAATATTATGTGTTATTATTGTTAATTGTATCACCCTGTAAAAATTTTTTTTTTTTATAAATAGACAGATTCTAAATACAAAAGTTTCTAATTTATTATCAGTAAATTGTAACAAATTTCAAATTTTCGGATCATTAGAAAATTTTCTTATCTCCTAACTTAATTAAACTAAACCATTCGTCACCATTCACACTTACTTATTATTATTATCATTATTATTATTAATATGATCTATCAGACAAGTTAAATTAAAAATTTAATTCAAAATCTAACTTAGTATCTTTTAAAGTGACATTTAATCAAATTTTGACATTTCTATAATCAATTGAAATAATTATATTCTAATATCTACAATTAATCTACTGTCTGATAAATGTATCACTAATAGTAAAGACAGCCTCTGGTAAATACACTATCAAACAATAAATTGTCCTTTATTTTCACATCAATAAAGCCTTTATTACTCACATGAAAATGTCTGTTTTTCTAACTGGAACAAATCTCCTACTGATTGCATTTCCACCTTTTACAATCAAGCTGCAATTTGTACTGTCCTCTGGTCACCATACAATTCAACCAGTCCACCACTCCACCGTACAACGGACCGATACCACTTGTCTATTTGACGTCTCAATTATTATCGTCTCACAAACTTTTATAATTATTTACAATTTTACTGAAACTTTTGAATTTAGATCATTAAAAGTCCTTTAAAAATTATAAATTGGTTCTCCGTTAGATATTTTTCAAAAAATTTCCAAAATCTAATCTTTTATTACTCCGGATATTTCTGACTTTTTTTATTTAATTTGACATCTTCTATCAAATTAAATTTAATGTACAGGATGATATTTTTTTTTTTACTTTATTAAACACCAAGATATATTTTATATATGTGATTCATTACCAGCACAGTACTTATTTACGTACTTATTTACGTACTTATTCACGTACTTATTTACGTACTTATTTACGTTTTATGCATTCATTTATTCATCGAATATTTATTTGAACAAGATTATTTGAATCGAGAGATATGACCGATAGATATTGAAGGTTCGGTATCTACCACCGATTTATCTGCAGCACCCATATAATTCATTGGCACCTTCTGGAGACATCACCAACCATTACCGAGTCCTGAGTTATCAGTCGATAGTAAGACTTCAAATCCCTCAGCCCTCAAGTAAGGACTACCTTTCTTATTTTAATGTACCTGAAAGTAGCAGCTCTCATTACCATCTGTACACTAGAGTAAAGTATAATATATATATAGATTAGATTTAAAATAACAATTAAAACTCACCTTTTTCTGTGCACCTTATACTGGGTCTTCAACAATACCGAAAACCCACGTGACCAAATCGTCATGACAGCGATTGGTGAAAATAAAAGTAAAAATCCCTAGATGTGAGCCAGTGCCGTAGGTATTTTATTACAAAATATACCTTCTTGTTTTATGGTCAGAAATTACGAGAACAAAATTCAATTTGGTAACTGTTAGAATTACAACACAAAATCATAATATTAATTAGAGGTACTTTACATTATTGTATTTTAATGTTAGTTTTCGATATTTTAATTAGATTTAGTTAAATGCAATTTTTAAAATTATGATATAATTAACATAACCTTAAAAACTTAGCTGCTATTATATCTAGTTTGTATTTAACAAAAAGAATAAACTGAAATATGCGTGCCAGTTATTGCCACTATTACAAAAAAAAACCTTTACCAGAAAGTTATGGACAAAAAAATGTTATGCATTATTATATGAATAAAATTAAAAATTATTTACTTTAGATTGACTCTCAAGATATTTGGCTACAGCTGAAACTTTAAATAGGATAGGCAGAAAACAATGGCAGTATTTGGCAATTATTGCAGTTTAAGTAAACAAATTTAAAGTTTACTGGAATTGTACCTGGGCAATGGGAAGTAATAAACAAATAATTTAAGTTTGATCTATTATTTATTTGTTACAGGGTTTAAACCATTTACAAAATACATTATGTTACTTATGTACACAAAAAAATATTAATATAATTACTGTAACAAGCACATATTTGTTTTACCTTACAGCTCTCACTTTAAATTATAAAGGCATACCTATTAACAACTATTTTATTTAAAAGGATATTGAGTAGTAATCGGTGGTGCACAAACGATACTAATTCACAGTACCTATCTATTCAAAATCTTTATCACCAGCTTTAACGCAAGCATCAATCGTTCTTTTTTGAACACTATGCAGTTTCTCCTCAGGTTTATGTTGTATGTCATTTAATTGAGCGATCTGTAATATTCCATAGGTAGGTTTAAAAAAATTAAGGTAAAATGATTGTTGCAGTACCGAAACTTTATAGGGGATGCATTATCAGAAATGTTTTCAATACATTATGACTAATTCGTAGCGACAAACCTAAAAAAAAAAAAATGTTTTGAATTTCACTCATCAGAGTCAGTCTTTGAAACACCGTTCATACCTGTTTGAGATGCTGTTTTTTTTTTTACTAATTTATTGGGAATTTACACCATGTTAATTTGCACATCTTCAACAGCTTTTGTTATTACTTGGGGCCTTTTAGAGCTTTTTCCTTTTTTATAATTTTGAACAAATATTTATTTATGACAAGAGAGAATCACATTCCATTTATTCACCTGGAAAACGTTCCTCAAATTTTGGAATACAATTACGAATATAAAATAATTTTGTTCCAGTGTAACATTACCTGAAATAAATGATATACATTAACTTTTACGAGTTGCAGTAAACAAATTTGTACTTACCAATAAAAAGAATTAAGGTAGCAATAATCTCTAAAAATAACTAATTGCTCTATTAATATTAAATGAAAAATGGAATAAAGGTGTTTATAAAATGTAAACAAATATAACATAAATATTCTGTCCCCAAATGAACGCCAGTGACATTTCTGACAGGACTGACAGTTCAGTTTAGTTCCTTTTACGTCAAATCAGGCCCTTTCGATGGGTTTTTGATGGTTATCAGATCACGTGGGTTTCGGGTATTGTTGAAGACCTGGTAGTACTACAAGGGGGAACGTAAATCACCTTTATATTATTAACAGTATAGAGAACATAATAAACATTTGTAGGGGATAATAACTCCATGGTAAATTTTGTGCATAAACTAAAAGATAAAAATATTAAATCAGATCCCAGCACAAAATACTTTCATTAACCACCCCACTCTCCGAATAATAAATTTAATAGAGCTAGCTTGGGAATATAGTAATCTTTGCCACCCCTTACAGTCCTGGGGAGACTAGGAGCGTGGCAAAGTTGCTGGATTTGTTGGATGAGAAGATGTGAAAAAGGATCATTAATGCAGAAAGGCCAATTGTAAACAATTATCAACACAAAATTGTCGTAAAAGCCCATAAAAAAGCAGAAAATATGAATGATAAGGTAGAAGTTTTGGAACTTAGAAAATTCAAAGTGCAATTTTCAGTAAGTAATAAATATTATGTAGTGTCTTGTAATAATGTATGTGATATATACAATGTCGTACTGGGTATTGTAATAAATGTAAAATATGTTTACATAGATATCAATCTAAGTGTTCAGAGAATGCTGTGAAAACGGTACTGTGTAAACATATACATGCTGTAGCTTTATTTGAGGAGAGAAGCGAATCTGTTTTAGGTATCTTAAATACTGAGAGGATGAGGATGACGTTTTGTGTGTTGAAGAGCCTACAGTTAGTCAGTTAAAATATCAAGATGATATAACCCACTTTATTCAGGAGAGTTAGAAAATGGAAGTTAATAATTCAATAATTAATTTTGAAGAAAGACGAGAAGTAGTTAGGTCAAAATATAATTTGTGTTTTTATTACATACTATATAATTTGTATATTGCATTACAAGAAATTTGTAGCTTTGGTAGAAGTTTAAATGAAAATTTATTTGCTAGATTTATGACTGATTTCCAAAAATGTTAAAATAGAATGGTTTTGGAACAAGAGAACTGTCAGCGCATTAATAAAAAACGAAAAATTGAAAAACAGACATAGTATCCAAATAAAAAATAAAACAAATAATATTAATTTTTCTTAAGTTTTAGCCAAATTTTGGGGGTTCACAGTAGCAGAATATAGATCCCGGTACAGATGTAGGTAAAAAACTGTTAGTGTTTTAGAAAGGTATATTATAAACTTTCTAAAACACTGAAAGTTTTTTCATACATCTGTACTGATATTCATATTCTGTCACTGTGAACCCCCAAAATTTTGGTCATCAGCCGCCACTGGTTTTAGCCATTCTTGATTTTTTTATACAAGTATATTAAGGTGGATTGTGGTTTTTTCATATTTTAGATACTTTCTTTGTAGTGCTTTATTATTATACTACTTATGGTTTTTGGTAAGGTTTTAGTTTAGGCTTCGGTAGATATGGTTTGAAAAGGTGTAGGTGTTTTGTCAATAAGTTTGTTATAAAAAATTTTAATATTGTATTCATTCTTCTTAATGTTGTGTATATTGTTTAATTTTTTAAACTAAGCCATGCCATTAAAATTATATTTCATGTATTTTATTCTAGATAAAAATTACATTTAGTTAAAAAATAAATTCCATATTTTATATTCAATTTTTGTGTGCTACCAATATATTTTTCTACCGTTTTTAAGGGTGCAGAAGCTGGTTGTTATTTGATATAAAGGAATGGGGGAAGAGAAGACCCCTGTGAGTATATTAGCTATTAATTTGTATACAGAACAGTAATTTAAATTTTTGTTTTATGTTTACTACAAAAATCTGTTGAATACGTTTAGACCGTGACCATTAGATGCCAGACCTAGAAAAGGTTCGATACCTAATGCATATTAGACCAAAGGTTTACTTCTTGACATTTAGAAAATGTGTTAAACTTTATTTAACCATTAGGTCATTATGTATAATATAACCATGCATCTTTTCAAAAAATATAAATAAAACATTTTTTGTTATTAGTAATTTAATTAAATTGTTTTAAATAAACCTAGTAAACATATGCTACTATACTCGTTCGTTTTTATATTCCCTCTCATTGGTTTTATTTATTTAAAAATATACATATAAAACAATAACTCATCATCAGTAAAGATATCAAAATAAATATTAATTATTTATTGTAATAATCACATTCTATTATACAGTTGGTTTATAAAGTGTGGAAACTCTCCATTATTTTTGAAGGTCATACCTTGTAAGGTAGTGGAAGTAAAACTTATTTAAAAAAAGTAGAACTAAAGTCCTGTTTTATCTTCGCAAATAATTAACTCTTAAGATAATGGATCGTTTCCACACTTTATGAACGCACTATATAATTTATTTTTCATCAAAAATTTGAAATATTTGAATCCATCACAATACCTACTTAAAAATATGTCCTCAATACAAAAATTCCGCATAACTACATAAATTGGAAGACCAGCGTAATAAACAGCCACTATTGTAGGTTTACTTCATAAAAAAACTCAAGAAAATCATTATGTTTTTATTTAAAATGGAATAAAGAATTAATAGGGCATCATAAAAAGAACATGCATGCCAAACACAACGTATTTGAATTATCTGATTCAGAATACTTTTGTTTTCGTACGTTAAATTTATCATTTGTTTTTGTTCATTGTTTACTTTCTAATTTGGGTAGAAAACTGTTTATTTTTTGTTTCTTATATACTTGTTTTTATTTTATATATACAACACTGCAATTTATAATTATTTCCCCCTGTATTAAAATCTACTGTTTAGATCCTGTTTTTTTTTTTTCGCTCACTTACTCTTCCAGCAAATTTTCATCTGTCAAAACTGCCCAGGATGGATCGAAAGAACTTTGCAACTACCATTTCTATAAAATATCAACTAATGACCTCGAAATACAAGCGATGACTAAGCAAGATAGCAAACGCTACCCCAAGACCGATCTAACTGTCGACGACTTCTGTCTCTCGCACTGGTCGCACCTTGCGAAATGTATTTCATGTAATTACATGTGTTCAGACGTAAAGAGACCGTTTTTGGTCTCCTTTGCCGTCACTTCTGCTGTCGTCTGTCGTCTGTCGCGTGTTTCGAAATGGTACCTTTATTTATATTGTTTTGCTGCGTTTTTTATAAAGACGTAAAAATAAAAAAAAATCATACCAATTTAATAAAATTTATTAATTTTGTATAAAAATATATTTACATGATGATAAATAACCAATAAAAATAATAGGTACTTGAATGCTATTGAGCTAGTCTTTTATATTTATTTTGGAATGTGATCGCCTACGGGTTGGAAGCCATTTTCGTCCGCCACGTACGTTACCGTGTACGTCACTCCTTCCCACGTAAACTTGTACGAACCGGTCACTTTCATGATTTCGTTTTCTGAACCTTGATTGGCCAGCTGGCCGGTTTCTTGCTGGGAAATTCCGTTGCTGGTCTCAAAACTGAAAAAAAAAAGGAAAATATAGCAAAACATATATTAAATATATAATAGGAAACATCATTTATAAAATTTTATTTTTCAAAAGTTTACATAGAAGCCGACTGAATGGTATTTAAATTTGTTATTTGAATGTCCTTAATCTTTAAAAGGGAATTTTTTTATGTATCCAATATTTTAGTGTTAAATCAAAATTATTTATTTACAAATACTAGCATACAAGGTAGGAATTATTGTACATCGGACTTTTATTAGAAATTTGTTGCTGAGATATTCTCTTCTAATGCTTCGACATGCAGTGGATGAATAGGAGTTGATTTCATAGCACCAAAACAAATGCGAAGTACCGTATTTTGGAAGACATCAATTCTTTTTAAAATGTGATTTACTTGCTGATCCATAACGTATATATCCATAATCTAAAATGGATCTAATGTACGATCGATTAAATATCAAAGAAGTTTCGACATTTGCTCCCCACCAGGTTTTCGATATTGATTTCAAAAAATTTAAACCCCTATTGCATCTATTTAGTATATGATCAATATCTAGTTTCCAAGTCAATTTATTATCAAAAACCATTCCTTAATATTTAATTGATTTGCAGAAAGGGAAATCGTTAGCGTTTAATTTTAGTTTTTCGATATTTGGGACATTGTGTCGAGAAACAATGCAGACATTAGATTTGCTAGGTGACATTAGGAAACCGTTACTTATAAACCAATTAGAAGAGTATTTAAAAAGTTTTTCCAAAGAATGTAAACAAGAATCATATTTTTTAGATTCAGTATATATACAAAAATCATCAGCATACTGTATTGTTTTGAAAAATGGATTTCGTGAAAATCGGCATTATACATAATAAACAGCAAGGGGCTCAATACTGAACCCTGTGGAATGCCAGTACTATTATATCTCGGTCCTATAATTTTATAATTATGTGTTCTTATATACAACTTTCTTTGTGTATAAAAATCAACAATTGTTTTCGCAAGTTGGGGAGGTATGTGGAATAAGTTAATCATTTTATTTTTTAATATTTATCTTCTATATCAATAGATGGTGTTGGAAAATAATTGTTATTGGAAAGAGTATGCTGAACATCAGTGACAAGAGAGCTAAGTGCATCTATGTGCCTTATCTTTTCCTAAAACCAAATTAAGACGTTGGTAAAAGGTTTTTCCTACAGAGGTACCATTAGTGTTTTATCTTTTATCATTCGTTCTAAGGTTTTAAAAATGCAGGACATAAGAGAGATAGGCCGATAGGATTGTGCGAGGTTTGGATCTTTTCCTGGTTAAAGAATTGGAATGACAACAACTTTCTTAAATTGATTTATTTTTGGTGTTGAAAGAATACCCTTAAAAATGTCCAGTAACATGTCTTTAGCAATACTGGGGAGATGTTGGATCATAGGATATTTAATTTCATCATAACCAGGACTGGTATTCATTCTATTATTAAGTGCATAGTCTAGTTCTGCATGAGTTAAAGGTTCAAGTAAAAAATGTTTTTGATTATTTACGGTTGTTTTACTCTCCGGAGTGGGTAGATACAAATATGATTAAAAGAAAATGGCATTTATTTCAAAATGTAGTTTTTACTTCAGTCCTACTCCAATCCAGTAATGGTTTCGATATAATTGAGTTAATTTTGTTTTTAAATTCAATGATTTCCTAAAGCTCACTGCGTCCATACTTATATTTAGTGAATTGGATTAAAAACCAGAGTTCAAAATATCTTTCTTCGACTTTAATAGCCTCAGGCGTTCATAGCAAGCTATTGAGGACTCAAACTAAGCTACCTCCTCTGAATGTACATTTTATATTATGTATATGTATAAAAAGTTCAGTGTTGCAGTTGTTATTAAAATTGTAACAAATCCAGTACAATTTTGTTAAAGTGGAATTCAAAAATATAATTCCTAAGGTTATAATTTCAATAACAAAGGTAACCATGGTAAGTAACATCAGTAACAGATGGGCTGTAGGAAATCTTAATTAATTGATATTAGGAATACTCATATGTTTTTAAGTTGAACTCTACCTATTGGTTTAAAATTCTACTACAAATAAAATAAATGGTATGACAACACTGTAGTGTGTTTTGTGTACTTAGGATGGGAAAATTAATGTTTGAACTTTGGTTCGGTTGTGGTATTAACTACTTAAAAACGTAATGGTTGATGAGTGCAAAAGAGTCTCCTAACTTTTCAAATTAGGAAGCAAATTTCAGAAAAAAACACAAATGTAATTAATAAATTATCATATCAATATCTGGACACTAAATAATTATAATCCTTAAATATGTTTTGTCATTAACCTTTCTTCCTGATTTGAAAATGCACTTTATAAAATGAACAATAGTTAGTTATTGTCTTACTACATATTCTTAATGAATTAGATTACAATTTATCGACGCAATTACTTTTAATGCATGTCGCAAGTAGTTACACGATAGTTATCGTGAATTGTAAAACACATACACAATTACCCAACATTATAAGTTATTTTTAAAGACGATCAATAAATAATTTTAATAATATTTGTGATGGGTATTTAGAAATATTTTCGTTCTAAAATTTGTCAAAAATAACTAAAAATCGAATTTACTAATTAAGTAAGTACCATTATGACATAATAAGCAATAAAAGGCCACACTTGAGCCCTAATTTTCCTGTATACGTACTAAGGAGATAGGGGAGGTCCAAATAGTGAAAAAATATAGAGGGTGTCACGAAAACAAATAATAAATAAAAGTTACGTGAATTTAAAAACCAAATATTACAAAAATGTTTTTGGGTATACAGGGTGTTGCGTTTTTGCTTGGCAAATAAAAATGTATGTTTTTTTGAATGGAACACTCTGTATTTTATTTAAAAAATGGATTGGTAATACTGTATTCAATTTTAAAATGTGTTGGAGAGCAATTAATATTTTTTAAAATTGAAAAATGATGCATACCCCAAATTAAATTATCATAATTTAGGTAGGTTTAGATTGATTTTAAAATTGTTTAACATACATACTTATAAGATACTAAGCTAACGAATAGTGGCGATAGAACTGGTTTATTTTATACAAAGTGGTTTAAAACATGTCTTAAATATGGCTAATTTTAAGTTAAATTTAGTCAATATTTTCCAATACAACACCCTGTATATTATCCTAGCAGAAAATGCTTTATAAATTATCCTATACAAGGATAATAATATGTTAGCCAATAACACATATACAGGGTGTCCCATCAATGCGTAATTGATCGATAGCTGTTTTATTATTAGAAATACGAAGACATTTTTAATATAAATATTGTATGATCATATTTAACAATTATTCTTAAATATAGAGGGTGGTCCATAAACGAGGTGCTGATCAAATCTATACTTTGTTAAAGCAAAATACCCTGCAGCTAGTTATACATATCGCACCTTTAGAGAAACATTGACGTAATTGCAAACATACTAAATATTGGAAATCAGCATTTAAACATTTTAAAATTGTTCAAAATAAAACAAAAGTGTTTACCTGCTAGACGAGATGTGCTATTATATTTAATTTTTTTTGTATGGTCTATACATTTAAAGTTTTTTTAAAAATCTTTGCCAATATTTTGTTTGAAAAAAATAAAAAAACTGATTAAATTGTAATTGTATCATTGTATCCCCTAAATGTGGTCAATTTTGTCGGCAGAAAATAGTTATTTATGCAACAAGTAAAGCTATACTTTCTTGGTAAATGGGAATCTATTCTCACCAGCTAAACAAGTTACTTTATAAAAAAAAATTTTGACACCATAATTTTAGCAAAAAAAAAAGAATTTTTAAATTTTACTTTACAAAATTAGTAAGTAGAGAAAATTAACGCATTAAACGTGTAAAGTAAACTGACATTATGACGTTATCTGTGAAAAATCTATTGGAATTTACGCACTTAGTGCGTAAGGTAATAGTAATTTACTTTACGCACTAAGTGAAAAAGTAAGATTTTTGGCACTGTTTAGCGAAATATTAAACAAGTAAGGCATCCCAACATTACTGACTTACGTATATAGTTTTCGTTTAGTCCACGTGCACCAGGGCACAATAGCTACTTCTTTCATATTGTATATGATTTTAAATGCAGATAGGTAGGACATCACACGATCAAACCCGACCATTTTTTGCACTACCCTAGTGAGGAGCTGTTAGGGTTGCCACCCGTCCTTTTTTGTAAAGGACAGTCCTTTTTTCAAGCAGAAGGTCCTTGCGACTTTTTAAAGCTTAAAATGATCTTTTTTACGACATATGATCTGTTTCACTCTTTTATATCTTTGAAAGGAACTTGGATTGTACAAAAATATACAAGATAAGCTTTTTTTTTTTAGAAGCTAGGTAGAAGGACTAGGCCTTTTTTTTTGTTACACCCTCGTTGACCTTTTTTTTAAGAAGTAGACTTTTTGTATATTGGATCCCCTATCAGCATCATTGTCCTTTATTCACTTTTCAAAAAGGTGGCAACCTTGATGTCATTTCTTAAAATATGCAGTTTTTCAAAGTACGTTTGAATTACCGTATACTGGAGCAACAAAGACACTATTTGCAGATCAAGTACAAACTTTTTTTTAATAATAATAAATAATGGGGTAACAATGGCATAATTGCATTTCTGTCATTAAATCTATACTTTTATGAAAAATAATTTACAAAAATGGAAAAACAATAGCACAAAATACATTTAAGTTATTATTGCTTCAGACAAAAGAAGAACTATCGAAACTACAATGACGCAACTGACTATTCCAACTCTGTTGCACCAAAAGTGTGGGACATGTGGGTCAATGCACTAAAGACATAATCGTCATCTACCGGAAAGGAATATAACTAAAATTATGACTTTGTTTCTCCAGATAAATTTGTTTTTGTACTTTTGTGGTATAATTACCTCAAATTATGAGAAATTTGCACTTATGTCATTGTCTTTCCAACGGTGTGATATTTGATTGTTTTCACATCGTCAAACAATTTTAATTGACTTCACTTATTTGCTATGATATATATAGGATGTGTCAAAACATCAGTTTACGATTTTTTAAATGTTTTAAATGGAATACCCTGCATTAATTATTTGGTGATATAACATATACCATTTAAAAACTTTAAAAAATCGTTACCCCGCATTTTGACAAGACAGCAAATAAATGAAGTTTGTTAATATTGTTTAACCAAAAAAGCTCTTTCGTTTATTGTAAGTATGCTATTCTCTTAAAACTGACTATCGCGTACTTGATTCAATGTTATAAAAGAATTCAATTCAAAGCATTTAAATTTCAGAACAAGAATTAAACAATTTTAATCATAAACTTATGTACTTCACAAAAGATTAGCGAATACAAATTCACTGCACGGTGTTGCCAGCTGTAACTTATTTTAAGATGTAACCACTGCACTGGTATGGTAGATATACGACTGGTACATGTTGAGATGTGATACTTATTATTCGGAAGTTAGATACAACGCATTAATAGAGAATCTGGCAAATTGGCATTAGCACGTGTTCATACTATTGTCCATTTTCTAACAAGTTTGCATCGTATCGTTAGGG